ATACAATAATATACAAGTCTGTGGTGTGACAGATTACTATTTAGAATATATCAACTTGTTACATACAATAATAGAATGTAATTAAAGAATGTTTACTACAGTAGATATGATAAGCACATGTATACAGCTCTTACACATAATTGATTGCTTTGAAACAAATATTTGTTATTTTCTAAAATAACAGAAGTTAGATCATGTATTGAAATTCCTAAATTTAATAGAAACTTACATAATCTATAGAGAAGAGCAGCATATATTTTCTTACTTAGTCTGTATTCTTACTTTTGGTTGAATTTCACTTGAGCAGCTTTGAAAAGTAAGAGAAACAACAGATGAGTTATGAGCGGTCCAAGTTTTCACAGGAATACTGGCCAGTCTGAGATCATACATATGGATTTTTCCTTGATTAGTTCCTACTGCTAATGTAACTCCATCATCCATAAAATCTACTGCTGTTAAAGGTTCATCACAAGTGAATGACTTGAGAAAGCTGAAAAACAGATAATTCTTAGTTTAATCTTACCCTGTTCTCCGACATGTAGAAGAATTAAAAACCTCTATCTTACCCTGTTCGCTGACACGTAGAAGAATTAAAACCTCTATCTTACCCTGTTCTCCGACACATAGAAAAATTAAAAACCTCTATCTTACTCTGTTCTCCGACACGTAGAAGAATTAAAAACCTCTATCTTACCCTGTTCTCCAACATGTAGAAGAATTAAAAACCTCTATCTTACCCTGTTCTCCGACATGTAGAAGAATTAAAAACCTCTATCTTACCCTGTTCTCCGACACGTAGAAGAATTAAAAACCTCTATCTTACCCTGTTCTCCGACGTAGAAGAATTAAAAACCTCTATCTTACCCTGTTCTCCGACACGTAGAAGAATTAAAAACCTCTATCTTACCCTGTTCTACGATACGTAGAAAATTAAAAACTTCTATCTTACCCTGTTCTCCGACACGTAGAAGAATTAAAAACCTCTATCTTACCCTGTTCTCCGACACATAAAAAAATTAAAAACCTCTATCTTACCCTGTTCTCCAACACATAGAAGGATTAAAAACCTCTATCTTACCCTGTCCTCCGACACGTAGAAAAATTAAAAACCTCTATCTTACCCTGTTCTCCAGCATGTAGAAAAATTAAAAACCTCTATCTTACCCTGTTCTCCAACATGTAGAAGAACTAAAAACCTCTATTTTACCCTGTTCTCCAACATGTAGAAGAATTAAAAAACCCTATTTTACCCTGTTCTCCGACACATAGAAGAATTAAAAACCTCTATCTTACCCTGTTCTCCGACACGTAGAAGAATTAAAAACCTCTATCTTACCCTGTTATCCGACATGTAGAAAAATTAAAAACCTCTATCTTACCCT